TTTTTTTTTTTTTTTTTTTTTTTTTTTTTTTTTTTTTTTTTTTTTTTTTTTTTTTTTTTTTTTTTTTTTTTTTTTTTTTTTTTTTTTTTTTTTTTTTTTTTTTTTTTTTTTTTTTTTTTTTTTTTTTTTTTTTTTTTTTTTTTTTTTTTTTTTTTTTTTTTTTTTTTTTTTTTTTTTTTTTTTTTTTTTTTTTTTTTTTTTTTTTTTTTTTTTTTTTTTTTTTTTTTTTTTTTTTTTTTTTTTTTTTTTTTTTTTTTTTTTTTTTTTTTTTTTTTTTTTTTTTTTTTTTTTTTTTTTTTTTTTTTTTTTTTTTTTTTTTTTTTTTTTTTTTTTTTTTTTTTTTTTTTTTTTTTTTTTTTTTTTTTTTTTTTTTTTTTTTTTTTTTTTTTTTTTTTTTTTTTTTTTTTTTTTTTTTTTTTTTTTTTTTTTTTTTTTTTTTTTTTTTTTTTTTTTTTTTTTTTTTTTTTTTTTTTTTTTTTTTTTTTTTTTTTTTTTTTTTTTTTTTTTTTTTTTTTTTTTTTTTTTTTTTTTTTTTTTTTTTTTTTTTTTTTTTTTTTTTTTTTTTTTTTTTTTTTTTTTTTTTTTTTTTTTTTTTTTTTTTTTTTTTTTTTTTTTTTTTTTTTTTTTTTTTTTTTTTTTTTTTTTTTTTTTTTTTTTTTTTTTTTTTTTTTTTTTTTTTTTTTTTTTTTTTTTTTTTTTTTTTTTTTTTTTTTTTTTTTTTTTTTTTTTTTTTTTTTTTTTTTTTTTTTTTTTTTTTTTTTTTTTTTTTTTTTTTTTTTTTTTTTTTTTTTTTTTTTTTTTTTTTTTTTTTTTTTTTTTTTTTTTTTTTTTTTTTTTTTTTTTTTTTTTTTTTTTTTTTTTTTTTTTTTTTTTTTTTTTTTTTTTTTTTTTTTTTTTTTTTTTTTTTTTTTTTTTTTTTTTTTTTTTTTTTTTTTTTTTTTTTTTTTTTTTTTTTTTTTTTTTTTTTTTTTTTTTTTTTTTTTTTTTTTTTTTTTTTTTTTTTTTTTTTTTTTTTTTTTTTTTTTTTTTTTTTTTTTTTTTTTTTTTTTTTTTTTTTTTTTTTTTTTTTTTTTTTTTTTTTTTTTTTTTTTTTTTTTTTTTTTTTTTTTTTTTTTTTTTTTTTTTTTTTTTTTTTTTTTTTTTTTTTTTTTTTTTTTTTTTTTTTTTTTTTTTTTTTTTTTTTTTTTTTTTTTTTTTTTTTTTTTTTTTTTTTTTTTTTTTTTTTTTTTTTTTTTTTTTTTTTTTTTTTTTTTTTTTTTTTTTTTTTTTTTTTTTTTTTTTTTTTTTTTTTTTTTTTTTTTTTTTTTTTTTTTTTTTTTTTTTTTTTTTTTTTTTTTTTTTTTTTTTTTTTTTTTTTTTTTTTTTTTTTTTTTTTTTTTTTTTTTTTTTTTTTTTTTTTTTTTTTTTTTTTTTTTTTTTTTTTTTTTTTTTTTTTTTTTTTTTTTTTTTTTTTTTTTTTTTTTTTTTTTTTTTTTTTTTTTTTTTTTTTTTTTTTTTTTTTTTTTTTTTTTTTTTTTTTTTTTTTTTTTTTTTTTTTTTTTTTTTTTTTTTTTTTTTTTTTTTTTTTTTTTTTTTTTTTTTTTTTTTTTTTTTTTTTTTTTTTTTTTTTTTTTTTTTTTTTTTTTTTTTTTTTTTTTTTTTTTTTTTTTTTTTTTTTTTTTTTTTTTTTTTTTTTTTTTTTTTTTTTTTTTTTTTTTTTTTTTTTTTTTTTTTTTTTTTTTTTTTTTTTTTTTTTTTTTTTTTTTTTTTTTTTTTTTTTTTTTTTTTTTTTTTTTTTTTTTTTTTTTTTTTTTTTTTTTTTTTTTTTTTTTTTTTTTTTTTTTTTTTTTTTTTTTTTTTTTTTTTTTTTTTTTTTTTTTTTTTTTTTTTTTTTTTTTTTTTTTTTTTTTTTTTTTTTTTTTTTTTTTTTTTTTTTTTTTTTTTTTTTTTTTTTTTTTTTTTTTTTTTTTTTTTTTTTTTTTTTTTTTTTTTTTTTTTTTTTTTTTTTTTTTTTTTTTTTTTTTTTTTTTTTTTTTTTTTTTTTTTTTTTTTTTTTTTTTTTTTTTTTTTTTTTTTTTTTTTTTTTTTTTTTTTTTTTTTTTTTTTTTTTTTTTTTTTTTTTTTTTTTTTTTTTTTTTTTTTTTTTTTTTTTTTTTTTTTTTTTTTTTTTTTTTTTTTTTTTTTTTTTTTTTTTTTTTTTTTTTTTTTTTTTTTTTTTTTTTTTTTTTTTTTTTTTTTTTTTTTTTTTTTTTTTTTTTTTTTTTTTTTTTTTTTTTTTTTTTTTTTTTTTTTTTTTTTTTTTTTTTTTTTTTTTTTTTTTTTTTTTTTTTTTTTTTTTTTTTTTTTTTTTTTTTTTTTTTTTTTTTTTTTTTTTTTTTTTTTTTTTTTTTTTTTTTTTTTTTTTTTTTTTTTTTTTTTTTTTTTTTTTTTTTTTTTTTTTTTTTTTTTTTTTTTTTTTTTTTTTTTTTTTTTTTTTTTTTTTTTTTTTTTTTTTTTTTTTTTTTTTTTTTTTTTTTTTTTTTTTTTTTTTTTTTTTTTTTTTTTTTTTTTTTTTTTTTTTTTTTTTTTTTTTTTTTTTTTTTTTTTTTTTTTTTTTTTTTTTTTTTTTTTTTTTTTTTTTTTTTTTTTTTTTTTTTTTTTTTTTTTTTTTTTTTTTTTTTTTTTTTTTTTTTTTTTTTTTTTTTTTTTTTTTTTTTTTTTTTTTTTTTTTTTTTTTTTTTTTTTTTTTTTTTTTTTTTTTTTTTTTTTTTTTTTTTTTTTTTTTTTTTTTTTTTTTTTTTTTTTTTTTTTTTTTTTTTTTTTTTTTTTTTTTTTTTTTTTTTTTTTTTTTTTTTTTTTTTTTTTTTTTTTTTTTTTTTTTTTTTTTTTTTTTTTTTTTTTTTTTTTTTTTTTTTTTTTTTTTTTTTTTTTTTTTTTTTTTTTTTTTTTTTTTTTTTTTTTTTTTTTTTTTTTTTTTTTTTTTTTTTTTTTTTTTTTTTTTTTTTTTTTTTTTTTTTTTTTTTTTTTTTTTTTTTTTTTTTTTTTTTTTTTTTTTTTTTTTTTTTTTTTTTTTTTTTTTTTTTTTTTTTTTTTTTTTTTTTTTTTTTTTTTTTTTTTTTTTTTTTTTTTTTTTTTTTTTTTTTTTTTTTTTTTTTTTTTTTTTTTTTTTTTTTTTTTTTTTTTTTTTTTTTTTTTTTTTTTTTTTTTTTTTTTTTTTTTTTTTTTTTTTTTTTTTTTTTTTTTTTTTTTTTTTTTTTTTTTTTTTTTTTTTTTTTTTTTTTTTTTTTTTTTTTTTTTTTTTTTTTTTTTTTTTTTTTTTTTTTTTTTTTTTTTTTTTTTTTTTTTTTTTTTTTTTTTTTTTTTTTTTTTTTTTTTTTTTTTTTTTTTTTTTTTTTTTTTTTTTTTTTTTTTTTTTTTTTTTTTTTTTTTTTTTTTTTTTTTTTTTTTTTTTTTTTTTTTTTTTTTTTTTTTTTTTTTTTTTTTTTTTTTTTTTTTTTTTTTTTTTTTTTTTTTTTTTTTTTTTTTTTTTTTTTTTTTTTTTTTTTTTTTTTTTTTTTTTTTTTTTTTTTTTTTTTTTTTTTTTTTTTTTTTTTTTTTTTTTTTTTTTTTTTTTTTTTTTTTTTTTTTTTTTTTTTTTTTTTTTTTTTTTTTTTTTTTTTTTTTTTTTTTTTTTTTTTTTTTTTTTTTTTTTTTTTTTTTTTTTTTTTTTTTTTTTTTTTTTTTTTTTTTTTTTTTTTTTTTTTTTTTTTTTTTTTTCTAAAGGAGGGGGGGGGGGGGGGGGTTGCACTTTAAGTTCTGGTCCAGTGTGCCCACCCAGTGGCTTGGCATGCCTATGTTGTGTTCAGTTATTTTTGATGTTGCTTGTTTGATTTGATAACTTATCTAATTGGTTGCACCCACCCTCTGGTCACTGGTCTAGTGTTAGATAGAGGGGGGAAATAATAGAATGTCTATGTGACCCAATGGGGGAGGGCAGGGCTGGGACAAGGGGTGGGCATGAGGGACAGTCGCCCCAGGCGCAACCATGGGCAGGCGGAACAGTGGGTAGAGAATTGGCGCAGGGTGGTACACCCATTCTACGACGCTCATTAGCTGCGGGGGAGGGGAGGTGATTTTCTATTTCCTTGCCCTGGGTGCTAAATAAACCTGTCCCTGTACTGGGGGAGGGGGATAGGTTTCCATCACTTCCTGTCCTGGTGACAACGTCTAGCATCAAATATATTTTTTAGATAAGTGCAGCATATGTAAGACTTATTTGAAGGTATTTGTCACCTCTTAGAGAGATCAAATCATGTGATCCTGGCGCCTGTACAGTTCTGGGTTATGTTTATAATTATCAGCCCCTGCTGCAGCTTCTCTGCCAGTATCTTGCTACAAAGGTACAATGTACAGTCTGATCACTGGGGGAGGGGAGACTGAGGAAATGCTTCCTCCTCCTACAAAGTTACAATGTACAATCTGATCACTGGGGGAGGGGAGACTGAGGAAATGCTTCCTCCTCCTTCTACAAAGTTACAATGTACAGTTCCATCACTGGGGGAGGGGAGACTGAGGAAATGCCGCCTTCTCCTACAAAGTTACAACATACAGTCTGATCACTGGGGGGCAGTTTTTATTAAGAAAAGTGTACAAGATTTTTTATTAGATAAATATTTAAATGTCATTTCAATAAAACATTTACGTTTTTGTTTTTGTGACAAGGGTAGTGAATGTTTTTGCGATTAGCGTCCCCGCGCCACTGGTTACATTTGAAGGAGATTCACCATCAGAGTAAAAAGGGATTCCGCGGAAAGTATTAACTGAATCCTGATACCTCCTGGGGGGGGAGGGAGGGGGGGTTAAATTCTATCCATTCTCCACAGTCCTCTATGAATGCCCCATTACATGCACTGTTTCATTTATCAATTCTTTTGTTTGAAGTATTCTGTTCCACCCGTGTCTGGCAAAGCCTGACCGTCCTGATGAGCAAAACAGACGCATTCCTGGAAAATGATGTGAATGACATCAGACGGGAGTCGGATCAGCTTCTGCGCCCTGCAAACCTGCAGTCTGTGGCTTTCCAAATTATCCTGTTCAACAGTGCCCCTAGTGGATGCAATACTGTACTGCAGAGGGAAAGTGTTCAGCCTTCTCTTCAGTCTTGCACAGGTGTAGCGGCTCCTCCCCTTCTGTCTTGCACAGGTGTAGCGGCTCTTCCCCTTCTGTCTTGCACAGGTGTAGCGGCTCCTCCCCTTCAGTCTTGTACAGGTGTACCAGCTCCATCCCTTCAGTCTGGCACAGGTGTACCGGCTCCTCCCCTTCAGTCTTGTACAGGTGTACCGGCTCCTCCCCTTCAGTCTTGTACAGGTGTACCTGTTCCTCCCCTTCAGTCTTGTACAGGTGTACCTGCTCCTCCCCTTCAGTCTTGTACAGGTGTACCTGCTCCTCCCCTTCAGTCTTGTACAGCTGTACTGGCTCCTCCCCTTCAGTTTTGCACAGGCGTACCAGCTCCTCCCATTCAGTCTTGTACAGGTGTACCGGCTCCTCCCCGTTAGTCTTGCAGAGGTGTACTGGCTCCTCCCCTTCAGTCTTGCACAGGTGTACTGGCTCCTCCCCTTCAGTCTTGCAAAGGTGTACTGGCTCCTCCCCCCCAGTCTTGCACAGGTGTACCAACCCCCTCCCCTCCAGTCTTGCACAGGTGTACCTGCTCCTCCCCTTCAGTCTTGCACAGGTGTACCAACTCCTCCCCTTCAGTCTTGCACAGGTGTATCGGGCTCCTCCCCTTCAGTCTATCACAGGTGTACTGGCTCCTCCCCTTCAGTCCTGCAAAGGTGTACTGGCTCCTCCCCTCCAGTCTTGCACATGTGTACCTGCTCCTCCCCTCCAGTCTTGCACAGATGTACTGGTTCCTCCCCCCAGTCTTGCACAGGCGTACCAACTCCTCCCCTTCAGTCTTGCACAGGTGTACCTGCTCCTCCCCTTCAGTCTTGCACAGGTGCACCAACTCCTCCCCTTCAGTCTTGCACAGATGTACCAACTCCTCCCCTTCAGTCTTGCACAGGTGTATCGGCTCCTCTCCTTCAGTCTTGCACAGGTGTACCACTCCTCCCCTTCAGTCTTGCACAGGTGTATCGGCTCCTCCCCTTCAGTCTTGCACAGGTGTACCAACTCCTCCCCTTCAGTTTTGCACAGGTGTACCTGCTCCTCCCCTGGACTAAATGGCTTACTTTGATTTCACTGCACACTGTGAGCTTCTTTGTAGAAGGAGGAGGCGGCATTTCCTCAGTCTCCCCTCCCCCAGTGATAAGACTGTACATTGTAACTTTGTAGGAGGAGGCGGTACTTCCTCAGTCTCCCCTCTTCTAGTGTTCAGACATTGTAACTTTGTAGAAGGAGGGGACATTTCCTCAGTCTCACCTCCCCCAGTGATCAGACTTTACATTTTAACTTTGTAGGAGGGGGCATTTCCTCAGTCTCCCCTCCCCCAGTGATCAGACTAAACATTGTAACTTTGTAGAAGGAGGAGGGGGAATTTCCTCAGTCTCCCCTCCCCAGCAATCAGACTGTACATTGTAACTTTGTAGCAAGTCACAAGGTGATAGGCTGCAGCAGAGGCTGATCTGTGTCAGACATTTGTTAACCTGCAGGGGAAGCAGATGAACCAAAAGCCATATTATTCATGACAATTCCATGTGTGTTCTTATTCAGGAGGCGAGCCGTCAGCGAGATGCAGCTGATGCACAATTACGGAGATTTTCGGCACACCCTCCAGCGCCAGGAGTGGCTCCAGATGAAGCTGCAGAACATGTACCCCCCGCATCGGTCAGCACCCCGCAGGAGTCAACCCCCAAGGTGGCCGAAACCAGGCCGCAGAAACCTCACAAGAAAGACAGCAAGTCGGTGGAGAACAGGATCAGACACGGCTCCCACCAGAACCCCGGACCGTGGGGAAGAAAGCGCACAGGCACAGCACCAAACCCAACGTAGACGGCGTGTTCAAGCCGGACTTCCAGTGACAGGGTGATCCCCGGGACGATTGGTGGCGCGTAGTGCAATGCTCCTGGGAGGCGACTCTGAGCCCGGTGTCCTCATGCAGAGTCCCTATATGCTGTAGATGTAGATAGAGGTAGATAGCTCATCAGAAGACGTATATCCAGAAACAGCGATGATCCAATGTGCTGCCGCATGAATCGCACAGAGCAGAGACCAAATCCACCATCTCCCCGAAATCTGACCCAACGTTTCTTCCGGGGATTGGGTTTAGAAAGTGATTCTCTGGGAATCGGGATTGGGAAGTGATCCTCCGGGAATCAGGGTTAGGAAGTGATCCTCCGGGAATCGGGATTAGGAAGTGATTCTCCAGAAATCGGTTTTAGGAAGTGATCCTCTGGGAATTGGAATTTGGAAGTGATCCTCCGGGAATTGGGATTAGGAAGTGATCCTTCGGGAATTGGGATTCAGAAGTGATCCTCCGGGAATCGGGATTAGGAAGTGATCCTCCAGAAATTGGGATTTAGAAGTGATCCTCCGGTAATCAGGGTTAGGAAGTGATCCTCCGGGATTTGGGATTAGGAAGTGATCCTCTGGGAATCAGGATTAGGAAGTGATCTTCCAGGAATTGGGATTAGGAAGTGATCCTCTGGGAATCGGGATTAGGAAGTGATCCTCTGGAATTGGGATTAAGAAGTGATCCTCCGGGGGTCAGGATTAGGAAGTGATTCTCCGGGAATCGGGATTAGGAAGTGATCCTCTGGGAATTGGGATTCGGAAGTGATCCTCCAGGAATTGGGATTAGGAAGTGATCCTCCGGGGGTCAGGATTAGGAAGTGATTCTCCGGGAATCGGGATTAGGAAGTGATCCTCTGGGAATTGGGATTCGGAAGTGATCCTCCGGCAATCAGGGTTAGGAAGTGATCCTCCAGGAATCAGGATTAGGAAGTGATCCTCCGGGAATCCTCTAGGAATCGGGGTTAGGAAGTGATCCTCCTGGAATCAGGGTTAGGAAGTGATCCTCCGGGAATCAGGATTTAGGATGTGATCCTCCGGGAATCAGGGATTAGGAAGTGATCCTCTGGGAATATTGGGAAGTGATTCCTCAGGGTTAGGAAGTTATCCTCTGGGAATCAGGATTGGGAAGGATTAGGAATCGGGGTGATCCTCCTGGGAAGTGTTCACCCGGATCAGGATTAGGAAGTGATCCTTCAGGATGTGATCCTTGGGAATCAGGATTTGAGGAAGTGATCCTCTTGGAATCAGGTTCCAGGAAATCAGGATTAGGAAGTGATCCTCTGGGGATCGGGGAATCCTGGGATTAGGTAGTGAAGAATGATAGGAAGCAATCCTCCGGGGGGTGAAGATTAGGAAGTGAGTGATCCTCTGGGAATCGGGATTAGGAAGTGATCCTCTGGGAATTGGGATTGGGAAGTGATCCTCCGGGAATCGGGATTGGGAAGGAATTCAGGATTAGGAAGTGATCCTCCTGGGCGGAAATCAGGGTTAGGAAGTGATCCTCCAGGAATCATTTGGGATTAGGAAGTGATCCTCCGGGAATCAGGATTAGGAAGTGATCCTCTAGGAATCGGGGTTAGGAAGTGATCCTCCTGGAATCAGGGTTAGGAAGTGATCCTCCGGGAATCAGGATTAGGAAGTGATCCTCGGGAATCAGGATTAGGAAGTGATCCTCCTGGGAATCGGAAGTGGGAATTGGGAAGTGATTCACCTGGAATCAGGGTTAGGAAGTTATCCTCTGGGAATCAGGATTGGGAAGTGATCCTCCAGGAATCGGGGTTAGGAAGTGTTCCTCTGGGAATTGGGATTAGGAAGTGATCCACCCGGAATCCCGGGATTAGGAAGTGATCCCTCCACCTGGAATCAGGGATAAGTTATCCTCTGGGAATCAGGATGTGATCCTCCTCGGGGGAATCAGGATTAGGAAGTGTGACCCTCTGGGAGTGATTGGGATCGGGATAAGGAAGTGATCCTCTTGGAATCAGGATTAGGAAGTGATCCTCTGGAATCGGGATTAGGAAGTGATCCTCTGATCCTCTGGGATCGGATTAGGAAGTGATCCTCCGGGGGAAGTGATCGGGGGGATTAGGTAGTGATCATCTGGGAATCGGGATTAGGAAGCAATCCTCCGGGAATTGGAATTATGAAGTGATCCACCGGGAATCGGGATTATGAAGTGATCCTCTGGGAATCGGGATTGGGAAGTGATCCTCCAGGAATTGGGATTGGGAAGTGATCCTCCGGGAATCGGGATTGGGAAGTGATTCTACAGGAATCAGGATTAGGAAGTGATCCTCCAGGAATGGGATTGGGAAATTATCCTCCGGAATCGGGATTGGGAAGTGATCCACCGGGAATTAGGATTAGGAAGTGATCCTCTGGGAACCGGGATTATGAAGTGATTCTCCTGGAATCAGGATTGGGAAGTAATCCTCCGGGAATTGGGATTGGGAAGGGATCCTCCTGGAATTGGGATTGGGAAGTGATCCTCCGGGTATTGTGATTGGGAAGTGATCCTCCTGGAATGGGAAGGGATTGGGAAGTGATCCTCCTAGAATTGGGATTGGGAAGTGATCCTCCTAGAATTGGGGGATTGGGGGAAGTGATCCTCCGGGAATTGGGATTGGGAAGTGATCCTCCTGGAATTGGGATTGGGAAGTGATCCTCCGGGAATTGGGATTGGGAAGGGATCCAGGATGTCACAATAGGGGTCATTAAAGGTTCTGAATAGCCAAAACTTTTCATTTAGATCTGGGTAGTGTAGGGAAAAGCTTCTCAACCAGGGGGCCTTCTGGGATCTTCAGGGGTGCCACACTGAGCCCCATATTTTTGCGCAATGTCATGCATTCTCAGGGTGCAGCCAGGGCAGTGAGGACTCTGATGTGAAGGGGGGCTAAGGACTCTGATTTGAAAAGCGGGGACCGAGGACACTACTGTGAAAGTGGGGGACTGAAGACTCTGCTTTAAAAGGGGGGGGGGGACTGGGGACCCTGTTGTGAAGTGAGGGTCTGAGCATTCTGATGTGAAAGGAAGGGAAGACCAAGGACTCTGATGATTCACAAGGGGGGCTTCTGATGTGATGGAGGGACCCCATTTCAGACTGGAGTGCCCCGACCGAAAAAAGAACAGGTTGAGAAAAGGGGGTTTAGGGCGGAGTCACTACCCCTGTAAATGGATTATTCTGCCCTCTGTGTGTGATACCCCCAGAGAGTGTTTGCATCCCGTGGTGGAAGTCTCCCTCTGCTGGCTGCACCTCCCTAGTACAGCCCTATAGCAATCTATGGGGCACATTTTCCAGCGTCTTCCCTGACCAGGCGGTAGACAAGTCTCCTAGAATTCTGTCCACCCCTCCCCCCAGTCCATCCATCCTCCTCCCCCAGTCCATTCACAGAATGCTTCATATTTTATGATTTGGCTGGAGATGAAGGGAAACTCTCCCAATGGCAACACAGGCTGCAATAAAAACCTGACGGGGGCGCTAACCCTTCCCCTACTCCCTCCAAAACTAAAGGAAACGTTTTGGCTAAAGTTTGGCCTTTATATATTGTCAAGGCAAACAACTTTTATTGAAGTAGAATTCATTAACAAATCCTTAAATTCCTTAAATCCTGAAATAAATAAGTCACATTCCAGCCTTATTTGATGTTTTTTGTTGTTACAGCCTTATTTGATGAAATTATTGGCAAATCTGGGTGATCCAATCAAACATTATTTTTAAAGTCTGACTAAATCCAAACAAATGAAAGATAAATTCTGATTGGCTGAAATTGGGCTTCTATTAGTACCTTACCACTGTTCTTTGTACTGCCTTACCGCATTAGGTCCACTAGATGGTGCTGAGGAGCACCGTGATAACAATCGCCATCTAGTGGCCATAATGCGGTATTTTCCGCATTCACATATTCGAATTGCAGAGGATAGATCCCGAGAGCATTCGATTTTGTTTTTTTTTTGCACAGAATGAATTTACATGCAGTTATGATGGGGGAGCGGCTATGTGCCAATTTTTTTTTT